TGTGTTTGAGAGTGTGTGTTTGAGAGTGTGTGTGCCTGTGTTTGAGAGTGTGTGTGTCTGTGTTTGAGAGAATGTGTGTCTCGGTGTGTGTGAGAGAGAGTGTGTGGGTCTCTGTGTGTGTGTGTGTGTGTGTGTGTGTGTGTGTGTGTGTGTGTGTGTGTGTGTGTGTGTGTGTGTGTGTGTGTGTGTGTGTGTGTGTGTAGGAGGGCAACAGTTTTCTGGTGTTGGACGAGCAGCATTTTGCCAAGGAGATCCTCCCCAAGTTCTTCAAGCACAACAACATGGCCAGCTTCATCAGGCAGCTGAACATGTGTAAGTCTTTAATCATTTGCAAAGCAACTAGACAGAAGTGTCTGTTTTTAGATGATCCTGTGAATGTAGTACCTGAAGGAGAAGTCTAATGACTACGTACATACAGATAATACATTTGACCATGTAATTCCAGGCGCTTCAAAGCACTTGCCGTTATTGTTGAAAGTAAGACCAGTTTTGGTTGTAATGTTGCAATATACTAAACTTTGTTATTTTATTTGGAGACAAAAAGCATCTGGGAGACCAAGTAAAAGACAATAGAAGAGTCCCATGAAAACTGCTCCACATTATCATGAGAGTACCCAGATACCTCAACACATTTCAATATTTATATATATATATTTATTTACCCCCACTCTGTTTATGTGTGCGCGCAGATGGATTTCGCAAAGTGATGCACATTGACACAGGCATTGTGAAACAGGAGAGAGACGGTCCGGTGGAGTTTCAGCACCCCCACTTCAAACATGGCCAGGACAGCCTGCTGGAGAACATCAAGAGGAAGGTCACTAACTCACTTGTTTGATTGTTATTGTGTACATTTGATTGTAACTAGGGATGCGCCCATGTCAAGTACCCAGCCGGTATTTTGCTGTTTCTTTTTATGTTGGTTTATTTTCCGATTTTACAAATACATATTTTTTATTTATAAAAAAAAAGCCATCATCAAACTAACTGAATGAGCAAACATTCCTTGAGCCTGTTAAACTCCTATCTGCTCAATGAGAAGATTCTAATTATTTATATATATATATATATAATTATAGTCATAATCCATTATTACCAGTTAAAGTCCATGAAATGTCCAAAATAAACGTTATTCTGTGTTAATAAATCGCTTCATCACTTTCCACTGTTTCATTTGACATATCAACATCAATGATTCTTTCCATAAATACCCCCCAAATAACATGAAATGTGTGCCACTTTCCCGTGTTATTCCGCTCCGGTAGCGAAAAGCTTGCCAGCCATTAACCCAGCTGTGTGACGTCACACGTGGCAAACACCAGCCTCGTCTGGATTGTTTGTTTTGTATCCTTCCGCTATTTTCGCTCAACATATGTGTAACCGGACCTCGCTAAACTTTTTTTATCTAACAATTCATGATGGGGAAGCGATGTGTAGTTGTGAGCTGTGAATGTTTCCTGATTGCTATAAACATTGATCATGGGTGCTGGAAGATTGTGCACAAAACTCGGGTCAGAATTAAGTTACTACAGGTGTTATGCCAGCTTGAGCTAAATGTCAACAGAGTACAGTGAACTTGCCTAGTGACTGAAATATATAAAAGTTGAAGTGAAATAAGTAAGGCCAAAAATGAATTACGTCTGAATATCTTTATTATTTTTACCACTTTTAATTATTTGTGGGCTCGCACATATACCAAAATAGAC